TTAAATCCATTAAACCTAAACTTTAAACCAGAAGGATAACGACACTCACAGCCCAAGAAATAATTCAGTATATTGAATGAACTTATAATGTAACCTGGAGAATTCTAAACGACTGTCTCTCTCACCTGACCTATATATACACGACCCCTCTCTCTCTCTCTCTCTCTCTCTCTCTCTCTCTCGCCATGTTGACAGTGAGAGGGGCAGGAGGTGGCAGTGTTGTGAGGCAGGAGAGAGGAGAGGAGGAGGAGGGGGAGGGGGTGAAGGGTGACAGACATCTTTACTTTATGTTACTTTATATGTCTAGTCCTTGCTGCTGACACTCTCCACCTCAGTGACGACTTGAAAATGCTTTGTGTGTGTGTGTGTGAGGGACAAAATTCGTACATATATCAATAAGAGAAGAGAGAGAGAGAGAGAACCAGCCTACCCCTCCCCCGTCACTACCAACACACACACACACACACACACACACACACGGCCTCAACTCGATCATTAAGACAAGTTTGTAGATCTAAACCGTACTGTGTATTGCTTTCAAATATTTACCTTCCAGTACCATTGTAGCGCCTCTGTCATACACCAGTACCATTGTAGCGCCTCTGTCATACACCAGTACCATTGTAGCGCCTCTGTCATACACCAGTACCATTGTAGCGCCTCTGTCATACACCAGTACCATTGTAGCGCCTCTGTCATACACCAGTACCATTGTAGCGCCTTTGTGATTCCTCCCGCGCCATTATCTCATTTTGTCATCACTGAGACGCCAGGAAAATTGGATCAAATGTGATAAGTGCATTCTTCCTCACTGACTTCTTCGTCTTCCTCCTCCTCCTCGTTATCTTCGTTTCGTGTAAGTCCTTCTTCTTCTTCTCCTCCATTTTTATTATTTTTCTTCTTTAACTTCTCCCTCTTCTTTCCCTTACGTCAATATATTTTTCTTCTCTCTCGGGGATGACAAGATGCAAATATTCTGTCTTCTCTTGTTCCATTATTTAGTCCATCATACCAGAAGGAATATGTCTTGATATTTTGTTTGTCAGATCTGTGCCACTTTTTTTTTTACGGTTACTTTATAAAGAAAAAAATACATTAATGTGCTTCGGTCAGTAAAATTATTGTGGATGATGATGATGATAATACTACTACTAATAATAATAACAGCAATGGTGATAATAATAATAATGATAATAATAATAATGATAATAATAATAATAATAATAATAATAATAATAATAATAATCTTAAGCCACTCCTTTAAAACTGCTTCATATACTGGACTACTTTTAACACAT